GTGTGGTTAAGTTTATAAGGACATCGAAAATCAATTTTTGAAAAGTGCATGCTGCTTAAGTAGTCATTTTTTGCCGAGTTAGGTTTCCGCAGGCGACCGAATGGAAGTACATTCAAAAGCCAACATCCCGGCGTGTCTGGAACAGCTTGGATTTATGCTGCATAATAGTTACTATTAGAACCCAATTTAGGTAATCCTTCGTGGTTGGAGACCCATTTTAGAATTCCCGTTAACGTTTCATGGGATGGGTTGCTGACCGTGTTTCCTAACTGCGAGACCATAGATGCCCTCAAAGCTTCTGGCCGGGAGTTTATTATTAGTTTCTATAAATTAGTCCGAACCTTGATCTCAGCGCGTAACATGTACCCTTCTTCGGGTGTAAACATCACTGTCTTTCGTTTGTGATTGGAGGACTTGTTTGTCTTTATTTTTCCTTTCTTAAAGGCTAGACTTATTTGTGAGCTCATAGGCCCAGAAAAGGAAATATTGTAGACCAGTTCTTGTGCAGTCTTGCAAGATCAAGGCGACACACACTATGTGATCGAGGCCTTAAAAAGCCGCTGGTCAGGTGCGTCAAGCTCCCAACCAGGCCAAGCAGCTCGCACAAACCCCGTGACTGACGTCTGTCACGGAGATCAGTCCAGATCTTCGTTGCAAAATGGAACCTATTGAACGAATGTCGTGTTCCCCCTGTTTTTCCATCTGCTCCGGCCTCTTCGCACTCCAGAAGTCTCCTGGGAGATCAGAACACTAAACCATTCCGTAGATGCATACCGTACATGGTAGGGCATGGGGACGTATGACCTCTCTCCCCTTCCCTTCTTATGTCAGGTGAGTTAGGGTCAAAGTAAGGCCATAAAAACAGGCCAATCTCTGGGATTTAACGCGTCCGGCCCCGCAGGTCTTTTCGTCGCCATAGCATCCTCGAGTGCGCGGGGATAGCGTGCCCAGTCGACTTTCACAAACCTGGGTGCGGCCACGCACTTGCAGCATCGGGCGTAGGTGAGGGGTAGGCACAGGACTGTCATGCCCAAAGGGGTAGTCCCCTGTTCGCTTCAACGAGCTGTTTTTACTTTTCTCCGAGGGTCATGTTGCCCACGATGAGCCGGTCGCTGCAGCGTAGTCAGTTGTTGTACGGGCAGTAGACGCCACTTACTCGCAGAACGAGAGTACCACGCGAGGCAAAGGTAGGTTGTAGGACCCCGACTTACTTGTGGTAGCCTGTGGCTCGTGTCGTGGGTCGAATGGTGGTAGAGAGGGTTTTGCAGGTGGGGCAACACGCAGGACTAAGAGCAGAAAGAAGAAGACAGAAAATAAACAATTTTCGGCTGCGAGTGTTATTGTATACTGCCATATAGCAAAGAAAGTGAACGCGGTGATTTAAAAGATAGGCAAAAAACCATTTTCAAAAATAACGGACTTCGAATAGACCGCAGCCGGCATGTTTACACTCGATCAGGAAGCCCACGAAATTTCAACCAATGGGAACAGTAAATAATAAGTGCCGTTTTCAGTTGCACGCAATTTAAGTGTACGTGTTGGAGTTGCCAGTCAAGTGGGGTCCTACACCCTAGTTAGTGAACCCTGAAATGTCCACTTAGTGCCCTCAGCGACAATGACACTTTGTGTAGGTAGCGGACTTTTTTATTCTTCAGCAGCAAAGCTTCGCTTCTGAAATCCGCCAATTTGTCAATCTGGAGGATAGACGACTTTGAGCTGGTGTCAACTATCTGCATCCAAATCCTCTCTTTACACCATACTCTTGTTTATCTACAGCTGGCTAGGAGTTACCTACTTGCCATTTGTCGTCGAAAAAGTGGTTTGGCGCCGACGCAGTCATCTCTAGTCCTGCGCCATCGATCGATGATTGGCCGGCACATCCTATAATTGCCGCTTGTTCTGCTGTTGCTGCTGTCATCTCTGACGATGGATTCCAGCACGAGTTCCGAAACTCGGAACAATAAACAGCCCGTGCCAGCGGTCGACCAGTCTTCTTTACTTAAAAAGTGGCCTCTTCTGCTTACCTAAGAAAAGGGCTTTTTGATCAACTGGATGCCATCTGTTTCGATACTTGGAAGCGTTCTATCGGAGTTTCGGTCAATAAGTCTGGAAAGATTTCTATATTTATGACACTTAGGAGGAGGTCTTTGCATTTTGGACTGTGACCCCAGCCTGCTAATTTAAAGTTCCTCTTGGAAAATAAAGACTGTTTTTAGAGCCGCGATCATCCGCCTCAACGCACCTAGCGACCCGTTTGCAGAGTGTGTCTGGACGGTAACAGAATGCAAGACGGGCGTTCATTTGGTTTGTGGAGTTGCCGTCTAAATGCATCTTCGGCGGTCGCATAGTGACTAATGATCGCTAGTCGAGAAGCAGTGCTGTATTCAAATCCCAGTTCTTCGGGACTCGCGAATGAAGTACAGTGAGTGACCTATCTCATGAAATGTTGGCTGAAATTCTGAAATGCGTTTTCGATTAGGAAGGATGACTTGGTCGCGTTTGTAATACTGACTATCTTGCGGCATGCTCTTATAACATATCGGACTCGACAGGATAGCGGCTTTTAAATGTACTTCTTTTCAATCTCCTGTAGAGAGCGTACTCGGTAAAAATGACTACTTAAGTAGCATGCATTTTTCCCATTTATTTTCGACGGTATTGCAAATTCAAGTATATTTTATAAAACCACAAACAAAAATATGCTTTCTTTTAGTCAATCAATAGAAAATCACCTCTTCTTCATATTTTATACCTAAGGAAGGAGTACAATTAGGTTTTAAAAAAGTTTCTAATTATGAGACTTTTTTAGACCGCGAAATGTCAAATTACATGGCATCTTACCTGGCCGTTTACCACTGCTCCTCATGAAATGAACAATATGGTCCGCATCCATTGCAAAATTTTATGGACTCTGCATAATGTCTCTTTAATGGCATAGAAAAGTATGTCAGTTTCTTTACGCGGGGCACATGCACCTTGCAGACAGAAATCACTAAGCACTTATGCAACGAATGATCAGGCTCCAAATTAATCAGCAATTGGAAAACTCTTTTAAAACCTAATTATACTTCTTCCTTAAGTATAAAATATAAAGAAGACGTTATTCTCTATTGATTGGCTTAAAGATAGCATATTTTATTTATGGTTTTTATAAAATATATTTGAATTTGCAAGAACATCGAAAATAAATGGGACAAATGCATGCTACTTAAGTAGTCATTTTTTACCGAGTACGCTCTCTACAGGAGATTTAAAAGAAGTACATTTAAAAGCCGATATCCTGTCGAGTCCGAAATGTTATAAGAGTATGTCGCAAGATAGCCAGTATTACAAACGCGACCAAGTAATCTTTCCTAATCGAAAACGCATTTCAGAGTTTCAGCCAACATTTCATGAGTTAGGCAACTCACTGTACGGCTGTCCGACGACTTCAACTAGGCCCATAATGGCAATTGTGGCCTCCCTCCCTCCCCTCTGTCTGCAATCATTCTCTACACTGGCCGTCAATTTGCCGCAGCCTCTATTTCTTTAGAATCTTCTTGTGGGCAACCATTGTGCCTACAGTTCTGCACCTCGGAGGAAGCTCCTATCTCGTCTGGCAATGTAGGCACCAACAAAACCTTCCATTCTCCCTCCTCTCCCCCACCAGAAGCTCTTGACTGCTATTCTAGTCTGCGGACCTGTACGAGATCCCGAACGCGCTCCAGACTACGGAGACTGGTCAGTCGGGGACGACAGACGCGAACAGGCAGAGTCCGTTTCAAAACTCAAACAGAGGACATGGGAGCGTCTTACCCAGCTTCCGTATCCACATGCCTGCCCCTCAGCTGCTGTCATGCAGCCTGAAGGCACATCACGTGACTCTCCGATCGTAGCCGGTCCGACAGCTCAACTGTTCAGACGTTGAACTGGTATGCACAACGGGCCCAGGTACAGACCTCGGGCCTTTCTGGTTTGTAGATGTGGTATGATTGGCTGATGACGCCAGAGTAATCACAAGTACCCAGCTCAGACTCTCTATTGATTGTTGGCATTCGGGGACGCGCCCGCCATCGACGGCAGTAATATGAACATCTTCCGTCCTACAACCACTTTAGTGGGGCGCCCCCCTCCCCTTCTCCCTTGAATCCGAACATTCCCAACTGCCATCAAAAGTGAGTTACCTCGTGTTACAACTATCCTTAGTTTTGTCCCTGTTACCTCTATAGATGCGAGCCGAACGTCCAATTTCTTTCTTTAGGCACTCCAGAAGTGGGCGCTTTCACTGAGTTCGTTCATGTGTCCAACTCATAGCTGCATGTTCCGTCAAGAGGCCATTAGTTGCACCAAATGAGATTATTCAGTCATCTGTAATTCCAGTCCTAAAACAGAGTCTTCCGGAACATCACCCTACCTCAAACCGTCTGAATATGTGTGGAAGTCTTCAAGACAAGCTCCGGCCTGCGAACTGACTTCGCCATGCTTAGAAGTCTGTTGTCGACCGGTTTCAGTGGGAGGCAGGTAGTCGTGATACCGTGAAGCTGCGATGTACGGCCGAACCAAACAGTGACAGTTCGACAGTTGCATGTAACAATGTCCACCGTGTGTGTGCCTCACTAGTGTGAGTCCAGGCCGGTGACCTGTGTGTGAATTAGTTTTCTAGCGGCTGAAGACATTGATGAAAGCACTGGAGATGATTCCTGGCTTCGAGCGAGTTGAATAGAATTTTTAGACGCGTCAAAGCGCTCATCCAGATGGCAAGGTAGAGGAGGAGGTTGGCGAGTACAAGTAGATATGATAAAAACATACGGAAACCTTGTACATGCAGTGGTATTAGTAGTAATAGTACAGTTCATTTCAGTTCAGTTTATTGAGGGAAATAGGCGTAAGCCTTTGAGTACCCTATTTGCAACGTAAAAAATGTATGGTGTACAGATAGATGTTCTGGGCTGAAATAGTTCGAACACGCCCATAATGGTGGGACAAAATTAGAAGGAGTTACAGGGGGTGAGCTCGACTTCTCATCGCTCTTGGTCATTTCGGAACATAAACATGTCCAGATTCTTCTTAAAACTTTGTATAGATGGTGACATCACAACATCTGCGGGAAGCTCATTCCACGGTTTGACCACCCGAACCGAGAAGGAGAACTTCCGCACATCCAGCCGTGCCTGCTGAGTGCGCAGTTTTAACGGGTGACCTCGGAGGTTGGTCGTGGTAGCAAATTCAAAAAAGTCCTCGAAGGCCAGACTGCAATCCAACCCCTTTACAATGCGGAAGGCTTGCAAGAGATCTCCGCGAAGTTGCCTGTAACTCAAAGGAAAGAGGTTCAGATTTACTAGGCGGGTCGCATAAGGAAAGGAGCTTTGACCCCTGACCATCTACGTGGCTCTCCTCTGGACTCTTTCGAGGCAGTTTTGATCCACAACAGCCCACGGCCTCCAAGCTTGTATGCCGTACTCTAAATGCGGCCGGACGAATGTTCCGAATGTCTTAGAGAAAGCTTCTTCGTCAAAGTTCATAAACGCACGCTTGATGGCGTACAGTACGGACATTGCGGTTTTTGCCACCCTCGAACAGTGGGCGGATGGTTTTAGGGAACTCGTCGTAAGCACACCGAGGTCCTTTTGGGCTTCGACCTCTTGTAGGGCTGCACCGCCCAGAAAGTAGCCTCTTGTGCTGGCGGATCTGGCTGTGTTGTCTAGGCGAAATATGCTACATTTGGCAATGTTGAACCGCAGAAGCCAACGGTTTGACCGCTCCTCCAACCGATTCAGGTTCATCTGCAGTCTGTCTTCATCGGCAGGACCCCGAATTACACTCCATATCTTCATGTCATCCGCAAACATTGCTACTTCACAGTCTAAATCTCTTTCGGCATCGTCCACGTAGATAAGGAACAAAATGGGTCCCAGTACTGAACCCTGGGGGACACCACTATCGACCATAGCCGGATCTGATTTTCCCCGACCGACGCACACAACCTGCTGTCGACCCACAAGGAAGTTTTCGATACATTTATGGAAGTTGCCACCGATCCCTATTTTTTTCAGCTTATGTAAGAGCCTTTGGTGTGGCACAGTGTCGAAAGCCTTCTGGAAGTCGATGAAGGCTATGTGGACCGCGTGCCTGTCGTCGAGAGCTTGGGTCCAGCTCTGGAGAGATTGCAGCAGGTTTGTCGTGCAGGATCTTCCTTTTCGGAACCCATGTTGGCATTTCGACAGTAGTAGTAGTAGTAGTAGTAGTAGTAGTAGTAGTAGTAGTAGTAGTAGTAGTAGTAGTAGTAGTAGTAGTAGTAGTAGTAGTAGTAGTAGTAGTAGTAGTAGTAGTAGTAGTAGTAGTAGTAGTAGTAGTAGTAGTAGTAGTAGTAGTAGTAGTAGTCAAGAGCGCAAGAGAGGATGAATTAAACCAGGAGTCACCTGTATGAATGAAAAGGTTAAGCCGGCATGCCTGTTAAACAACCGGTGGAGGGTGCGATGCTTTAGGCAGTCACAGGGAAGGGCCGTGGAAGGCGCCGAAGTAGAGTTAGCAGAACGAGCGTTAGGACGAAAGGTGCGGGAAGGGGTCGGCAGTTGAGTGCGGAAGGGGGACCGGCCAATCTAGCCAACACGGGATCAAGTCATCTCCAGCCTGGGTTCACACCAAAAGTGTCTCTACATACAAGCAGTCCAGCTCAGTTCGTTGGGCGTTTAAGTCTATAGTGATAGTAGACTAGCGACGAATCTTCCACACTCTCTCCTCGCCAACCTGAGGCCGGTTTCAAGACAGAGTCAAGAATGCCAGAGGTGGGGTCGGACGCAGTGACTGACATAGCCAAGCATTTCGGCTACGCTTGCCGCGCGCGGCCCGCTCCGCGCACAATTGACGACGTTTTCGCAAAGGAGAATACATGGACCTCGCAGGCGTGCGAGTGCCTGGACCCTCACGGAATCGCCGGCTGCAACGACAATGGCCTCCCGCTCCTGCGAACCTGCGCTGAACACCGCCTTCTGCTGGCCAACACATTCTTCCGCCTGCCGATGAGGGATAATGCCACCTGGAAGCACCCCCGATCGCGGCGCTAGTAGCTGCTGGACTATGTTCTCGTCCAGAGGCGACATCGGCAGGTCATGATGGTGATTAAGGCGATCTGCGACGCCGATGGCTGGACGGACCATTAACTCGTCATCTCCAAGAAGAGGTTTTGTCTGCTACCTCGCGGGAAGCCACAGGGCAAGCAACCCCCAGGTATGCTTTGTTGCCTTTGCCTGCTTACCATGTCCATTTCACCGCTCGACTGACCCAGCGGCTGGAAGACCTGCCAGCGACAGACGAAAACGTCCGCGTGGATACTGGATGGTGTCGACTGCAGTACGCTGTTCACTCGACCACCCTGGCTCTCCGTGGCCGCGCACTCCGTCAGCATTAGGAATGGTTCGACGACGACGACGACGACGACGACGACGACGACGACGTAGTCATAAACAGCCTACTCGCCGAGGAGAGCAGGCTGCGCAGAATCTGTCTCGACCAATGTTGCCGCCTTACTCAGTAACGGTTGCGAGAAATGCTGGGCTTCTGGACGGCTAGCAAGGCCGCGGAGATCCAGGGATATCCCAACTACAGCAAATCAAGGAATTTTTTCGCCGCGACCAAGGCCATCTACGGCCCCTTAATGAAAGGAAACGTTTCCTTCTCAGCTCCAATGGGTTAACGCTTCAAATGGAGAAGCCGCAAATTCTGAAGCGCTAGTTCGAGCACTTCAGAAGCGTCCTCATCCGTCCCTACGCAATCTACGACGCCGCCATCGACCGGCTTCCCCATGTGAAAACCAACGCCGACCTGGATCTCCAGAAACTATCCGTGCTGTGCAACAACCCGCTAGCGGGACAGCACCAGGCTCCGATGCGACCCCAGCCGAAATCTACAAACACGGCGGCCACTGCCTGATGGACCAATTCACGACGCTATTTCAGGAGATGGGGCGCCGTGAACAAGTTCGTCAGAGCTTCGAGGACGCCGCAGGTGTCCACCTCTACAAGCTCAAGGGCAACCGGCAACTCTAACAACCACGGAGGCATCTCACTGCTCAACATCGCCGGGAAGATCTTCGCTCACATTGTCCTCAATCCCCTCGGCGGACACCTTGACCAAGGACTTCTGCCAGGAAGTCATTGTAGATTCCGACGGGAGCGGGGCATCACCGACACGATCTTCACCGCCCGCCAACTGCAAGAGAGGTGCCAGGAGATAAGAACTCACCTCTATGCTACTTTCGTGGACTTGATGAAAGCATTCTACACGGTGAGTCGTAAAGGGCTGTAGAACGACACAATCTGCAAGGCATTCTCAGTGGCCAACGGAGTGAAGCAGAGCTGCGTCTTCGCGCCTACCCTTTCCAGTCCCATGTTCTCTACCATTATGATGGACGCTTACCGCGATAAGCGCCTCGGGATACACATCTCTTACGACAGTGACCGGCGTCTTCTCAACACCAGGCACATCCAGGCCCCAACGCGACTATCTGCGACCAACGTCCACGACCTGCTCCCCGCTAACAATTGCATGCTCAACACCACGGTTGAAGTGGACATGCAACGGAGCATGGACTTCCTCGCCGCCGAATGCACCAGCTTCGGCCTGACTATCAACACGAACAAAACAGTGGTCATGCACCAAACGTCACCCAACACGCAACACTGCACTCCTCCTCGAATCACTGTCGACGACCGCAAACTCAAAACCGTGGACAATTTTGCTTAACTCGGAAGCACACCTTCCAACAGCCCGAGAATCGACAATGAGGTTACCCACCGGATCTCTGAAGCCAGTCAAGCCTTCGGCCGGCTGTAGAAATCCGTGTGGAACCGTCACAACCTCCAACTGGGTACCAAACTTAGGATGTATAAGGCCGTCATTCTGAGGCCACTTCTCTATGGAGCGCAGGCCGGGACCGTCTACTTTAAACATTCCAAGAAGCTCAAACACTTCCAGCTCAGCTGTCTTCGCAGAATACTGACATGGCAAGACAGGATCCCCAACACAGAAGTCCTAGAATGGACCGGAATCCTCAGCATCCGCGTCATATTGGGGCAACGGCAGCTACGTTGGAGCGGCCATCTCGTGAGGATGGAAGACACATGTCTACCGAAACAACTCTTATATGTTGATGTCGCAACGGGTGTTTGTCGACTAGGAGGACAAAAAAGGCGCTAAAAGGACACTTTGAAGGACTCTCTTAAACGACTAAAGATCATCCCGGGTACCTGGGAGTAACTCGCCCAGAACAAGCCGGCGTGGCGAAGTGAATACCAGCGCAACCATCAGTGAGACAAATCGGATCCCCTCCGCCAAAGCCAAAAGGGTGGCTAGCAAGTCACAAGTGCCTCCCATCCTCAATGCTAACCGTCCGCCGCTTCCAACACGCCCACGTTGCCAACACACGTTCCGCCCGCGAATCGGTCTCGTAAGACACCTTCGGACCCAACAACTCGACAACGTCCACTTTTCTCACTGTCACCTCTTTAGCAGACCCCGAGCCAATTGCCATCACTGTCACACTGCCTCTGTCCTGCCGTTATCAACCACCGACAGCATCCGCCCTGCATCAACCACAGCAATCAACTCCTCCTCCGCCACCAACACCACCACCACCACGACCTCAAGCTCTCCCCCCACCAATGGGCGACGACCGAGTCCGACGTCCCATTACCACCGCACCCCCACCTTCATCGATGTGGGATCGGTTCATATCTGTCCTCATTACGATCCCACATTCACGTCACACATCGACCTGATCGGTCGTTCGCGAATCCCTTACAGAGAGACTGACGAACCAGTCCCTGGAGCACCAGCCTACACTCACCTCATCCACCTCCACTACCCTCCCTGCCCTCGCACATCCCCACACCGCATAGGCCACGTGCGCATTCATGAAAGACTGGGGTATACAGCCGCCGGACTATACCGCACAATCACACCTTTCTCCACCAGCACATGCACTACACAACGCAGACACTCGATCGCCACGCAGGTGGGGAGCGCGCCTCGCGACTACTCCTCCTCTACTGCATGTATGATCCGAATCTGATACTATCACGGCGCGTCATGCGTCGTGGTTCCGAAAGTTGCCGACTGCTGCCTCAACCCAGCCCGCGCAGTCTGTCCGACTGTGTGCCTTTGTGTGGAGTGATGGACTGGTGGGCTGAGAGCCAGGCTGTCAGAGCTCCTTCTTAAAGTGACCTCTGGCACTCTTATGCATGTGTGCAGTCTGCGTGTGCATATGGGTAGTGCCACTCAGTCGATGCCTGACTGGTCACCCTGCCTCTGAAAGGTGTTGGTCCAGGCCCAGTGCAGGAATGTGTCACCCTGAGGTTTGTGAGCGTCTGTTATGACATTATTCAGCAAACCGTGGCTCTCACAGCCTGGTGTGCGCTGGCAGTTCTATGGCGCCTGGTTACCTGTCGGTAGATGCGCTTGCGGTCCCGCTGGATATGCAGGTCGTGAGCATGGCTGTTACGTCATCTTCATCGTCTTTCTGGCCCGTTATGGTGCTCCTGCTGTTGATCAAGTGTGGACCAGGGTTCGGCCGTGTCAGCCACCTGATCCCTGTCCAGCCTTCGGTCTTCTTGACCATGTCTTTCTCTCGGTTCCAGGTGGAGGAGGTGGCGAGATGCTACACAACTCTACTCTCGCTATAAATTCACCTGCAAGTCATCTTGCCCGCTTTGCCTTGCTGTGGAGCACATGGTGAAAATCGTCGGGCAGGGCGGTCGAACTATCATCCTTCCGGGAATAGCTGAAATGGTAGTGGTTGAATTGTTTGGTTTGGTCGGCTTGGAAGGTGGTCCACGCCTCCGCTCTGTACAGCAAAGTTGTGAAGATAACCGTTTTATCTTGAGTCGGATGCCGCGGCGGTCCTTGCCATTCCGTGAAACGATGCTTCCGATGTTCGCGAATTTGTCCACAGGTGCGAGTTGAGGTCCACTGACGTTGACATGGGGTTCTCCGGGGTCAACATATGGAGCCGGTTTGTGCGTGACCACCGTTTTCTCCATGTTACTTGTCAGTTCGAAGTTGGCACGGCCGCAGACGAACACGTCCATGCTTCATTGCACATCTGCTTTCGTTTTGTCTCAAGTGCACAGTCATCCGCGAACACTAGGTTGTGGATTCTGGCCTAGGATGCTCCTGAAGATGCTTGCATGCATGGGACGCTGAACATTTATCCTTCGAACCGGTTGTTTGTGCCACTTCTTGCGACAGTCTTCCATCAGCATAGCAGAAAACTTGAGGCTGAAGAAGGCGGGTGCGAGTAAACAACCCTGCTTCACAGCACATGTTTCCCAGACTCCCCCAATTACGTGATTCGAGTCATAATTCAATCGCGAAGTCGACCCACAATTTGCGCCAAGTGCTCCGGGTATCCACATTTCAGCGCGGTTCCCCAGAGGCCGTTGAGATTCACCGATCGTTCTTACGGAACTCAGTCGTTCCGTTGTGTCTTACGGGCTCTCACTCGGGCCCAACAAGCAGCCGCACAGCGGCGCATGATAAAGGCAGAATGATATTACCGAAAAAGACAAGGGAGATTGGAATGGCCATTTCGGGTTTATTAGCCGTCGTCAGCCAGTCATACCCAACCCCGAGGCTCGAACTCGCGACCTTTTGGTTTAGAAGTCCACGCCTCTAACCACTGGGCCACGAACCCGTTGCCCTGTCGGTTTTAATCAGGGACGAGTGATTTCCGTAAGAACGATCGGTGAGCGCCCCCTACTATTGTATATTCCCGATCGAAACCGACAGGGCAACGGGCTAACAGGCCGCAGGTTCGAGCCTCGAGTGTTTCACGCCTCGGGGTTGGGTATGACTGACTGACGACGGCTAATAAGCACGAAATGGCCATTCCAGTCTCCCTTGTCTTTGTCGGTAATAAAATTCTGCCTAAAAGCTGCTTTGTTTACATCGTTGCCACGTATAGGCAGAATGGTATTGCCGACAAAGACAAGGGAGACTGGAATGGTCATTTCTGGCTTATTAGCCGTCGTCAGCCAGTCATACCCAAGCCCGAAGTGTGGAACATCCGAGCCTCGAACTCGCGACCTGTTAGCTTGAAGTCCACGCCTCTAACCACTGCGCCACGAGCGGGTTGCCCTGTAGGTTTTCGATGGCATTACCGACAAAGACAAGGGAGACTGCAATGGCCAACGAAACAAGTGAGTTCCGTAAGAACGATCGGTGAGCGCCCCTTACCATCGTTGCCACGATTGGTTTAGCTTGCGTGCAGCCTATTCATCTCGATGGCACTGTCGTCGAGAGTTTGCATCTCTTCCAGGGCGGTAAATCATTTTATAGGTGAAATCTAAACGACGATCAAATACATCCCCACAAAACGGTATTTGACTTACATAGTATTCGCCTGCGGGG